CGCGCACGAGCTGGCCCGGGAGTACCCAGGGCTCCAGGTGACCGTGTTTGACCTCCCCGACGTCATCGAACACGCCTCCTTGTTTCGGCCCCACGGAGCAGAGAGGGCACACGTCAGCTTTGTGCCTGGTAAGGCGTGTGGGGCCCGGTAAAAGCTCTCCGGCCTCCGTCCCGGCCCTGCGGGGCCCTCTGTCCCGCCCCTGAACCCCCTTCCTGTCCCACAGGTGACATCCTCCGGGACCCACTCCCCGCAGCCGAGCTCTACATCCTGGCTCCGCTACCGCCCGCCCAGCCGGGCCACACCTCACACGGGCTCCTGCAGAGGGTGGCGGCTGCCTGCAGGCCGGGTGAGCCTCCCGCTCTCCCGCTCTCCCGCACACAGACAGCTGGGAGGCTGAGGCAGGGGGGTGTCTGGCTGCTTTGTGTCTCTGCCTGGCCCCAGGCCTCCTGGGTACTCCCTAGGGGCCACAGCCGGTGTCCGTCTGTCCTCCTGCTGAGTTCCTGTCACCTCTTTGCACCTGTCGCGCAGCAATTACTCTGTATGTGTTTACTGTTTCTTAGTGGGGGAAACTGGGCTGAACCCAGGGCCTTGGCGCAGAGCTCTGACCTCTGACCCTTTTTTCAATTTAATTTTGAGAGGGGATCTCACTAAATCGGTCACCAGGTTGAGCTGCAACTTGCGATCCTCCTGCCTCGGCTTCCTAGAGCTAAGACAGGCGTGGACCCAGCTCTCTGTCGTGTTTCTGTCACCTGTCGGCCACCCGTGTCTGCGTCCGTCTGTCCATTTTCACTCCCACCCGCCCGTGTGTTCGTCTGTCTGTCCGTCTCTCTCCCCACCCACCCGTGTGACCTCTGACCTATCCAGGAACCCGTGCTCTCTGCACGCGGCATCTCCATCAGTCACCCCGTCTGTCCCCGCCCCACACCGTCTGGGTCTCTCCTGTCCTCACTGCCCACCGTCCCCTCCCCGTGCCCCTCTCCCCACACGGTGTGGCCCTGACCACAGCCCCATCTGCTCCCGCAGGGTGTGGCCTGTTGGTGGCTGATGCCTTCTGCACAGAAGAAGAGGAAGAGGAGGCGGCGGAGGAGCTGGAGGAGGAGGAAGAGGCCGAGGAGGAGGCGGCGGCAGGCAGGGCCCGGGCTGGCCTGGCACGCGTGCTGGACCAGCTGCTGTGGCCCCAGGCTGGGGG